CGGGGGCCGCGCGCAGGCGCCGGGAAGGGAGCGGGCCGGGCCGGCCGAGCGGAGGCGGGTGAGTGCGCGCGCGCGCGGCGTCCCTCGGCTCCCCCGCGGGTTTGCGGGCGCCTGGGCAGCGGGAGGAGGGGTTCCCGGGGATGAGGGGCGTCGGGGCCGCCGGTGGCGGAGCCCGGACAGACGTGCGGCGGGCGGGTGTCCCCCGAGTCCCTGTGTTTTCCCCCCTCGGGGCTGCGCCCCTGCACCCCGCGGCCGCCTGCCCAGCCGGTGTGTGTGCGGGTTGTGCGTTGCAGGCGATGGCTGGGAGAGCGGATTGACGGTGCGCACAGGAGAGGGGTGGGAACAGCGTGCGCCTGCTAAACATGGAGGAAGATGAAGAGGAAGACTACATGTCCGATTTATTTATTAAGTAAGTGGGTGGCTCTTTTTCATAGAATTATAGAATGGTCCAGGCCGGAAGGGACCTCCAAAGGTCATCTAGTCCGACCTCCCCACAGTCAGCAGGGACACCCCAACTAGACCAGGTTGCCCAGGGCCTCGTCGAGCCTCCCCTTGAATATCTCCAGGGATGGGGCCTCAACCACCTCCCTGGGCAACCTGTTCCAGTGCTCCACCCCCCTCACAGTGAAGAACCCTCTCCTAATCTCCAATCTAAATCTGTTCCCCTCCAGTTTAAAGCCATTTCCCCTCGTCCTGTCACTGCAGGCCTTTCTAAACAGGTTCTCCCCAGCCTTACTGTAGGCTCCCTTCAGGTACTGGAAGGCTGCTATTAGGTCTCCCCGGAGCCTCCTCTTCTTCAGGCTGAACAACCCCAGCTCCCTCAGCCTGTCCTCGTAGCAGAGGAGGTCCATCCCCCTGATCATTTCAGTGGCCCTCCTCTGGACCCTCTCCATCAGGCCCATGTCCTTTTTTTCCCTCTTAAGTGATTGTAAATATGTTCTTTAAAAAAAAAAAGTGCTAACGTTTGCTGGAATTGTTAACTCTTAGACAGGATGTAAGGCCAGGCCTGCCCATGGTGAGGCGGGTGAAGGAAGCAATTCAGAAAGAAGAAAAGCAAAAAGAAGCCAATGAGAAGAACAGGCAAAAGAGTATAAAAGAAGAAGAAAAAGAGAGACGTGACCTGGTATTGAAAAGTGCATTGGGCAATGAGAACAAAGGCTTTGCTTTGCTCCAAAAGATGGGCTACAAAAGCGGCCAGGCCCTTGGGAAAAGCGGTAAGCTTGTCACGGTCTGGAAGCACGTGCGCCTTTATCCACCTGTACCTTTTTATTTTACAGACTGTAGCTGACACCTCATTTGTAGATGGGTCAATACATGATGTTCTGAGAGCCCTAGCATTACTGAACTGTGAATGTGTGTCATGGTTTTGGCCAGACTAGCAGTGGCATGTGAAAAGATGCAAATAGATCTCTAAGAACTGAAATAAAAATGGTACAGGCTATCGAGAGATGCGAGGGAAGCAGTGGTACTTGCTGCTCAACAAATCCGCTTCCATATGTGCATGTCTACAAGAAATGCATTAAAAATGTTTGATGGCCTTGCAAAGCTAACAGTGTTCCAAAAAATACCAACCTTTTTGAATTTATAGTTGGATTCTGAAGAAGAAATGGTGCACACTGGCCTACCCTTATGAAGCCTTAATAGATAAAGTAAAATGAGTAAAGCAAAGCCTCAATAACTGCTGTGCTAGTTTAACGCATCTCTAGCAGGCAATCAGCAGCTGAACTGGCCCAGACAGATTGTTTTTACTCTTCACTTTGTCAAGTTGTGAGATCCTAGAATGAAAAATGCTACAGAAAGCTGTAACAAAGCAGTCTTCATCACAGGTATGTTATACCTGTCAAGTCAGCACCATTTTCTTTCAGTTGGGTAGCATCCTGAAAAAGGTGTATAGCAACCCAGCAGATGAGCCGAAAAAGAGAGGGTGTTCTAGTTTAGCTGAGTCCTTTGTAATGCACTAAGCGTAAATTGATAGGGCATTTTTCTACTTCCAGGTAAGAATATCACAAAAAAATGTACATATTTAATGGCAAAAGCAGCTTGCCTACTTTAATATACTGCACAAATCATAGTTTGAGAATGTCTTAACTTTACCTCTTTTTCCCTCACAGGAGAAGGCATTGTTGAACCTATTCCTCTGAACATAAAAACAGGTTTGTGATACTTCCTAATTTCTTAGTTGGGTATTGGAGCTTCTCAACTGCTTACATTCATATTTTGAACTTCTATAGGCAGAAGTGGGCTTGGTCATGAGGAATTAAAAAAGCGAAAAGCTGAAGAAAAACTGGAAAACTACAGACAAAAACTCCACATGAAAAAACAAGCAAATGAACAAGCTGCAGATCAGTTCAGGTGAAATGATGTAACTGATGTTCCAAGCAGTGTCTAAACAATGATTCTTTTAATGCTTGAAGTTTGGTTATTCTTTTAACGCGTTACTATTTTTGAATGTTTGGAATGAGAGGTGAGAGTTAAAATACAGCATTTTTTCTCAGTTTATTTCTCAGTTCTAAAGCAAAAGCAGATGAACATTGTAAGGCTAAAAGTGTGTGCTGCATCATTTATTTTTGTAAATGTAAATAATGCAGACAATATACATACTAACTTTGCTCAAGTCATTTGCAACTTTTTAAATCGGAGAAGCATGTCATCTTTTTTAATAGAAAATCTATAGATTATCCTGAGCAATGTTGCTACAATGGTTTTAAAAATCAGAGTAAATTTGTTTAGGTATTGTTTTTATTTTCTCCTGATTTGCTTGTTACATGTGGAGAAGGAGAGCCTAGGGAAGGCTGTATATTTTACCTGTGATGTTTGGTGAACCACTTTTTTCATGTCTTATGAAAACCTGATGAAGAAACAGTGTTTGGTGTAGTGTGATCAAAAAAGTACTGTCTTGAAGGTATAGTTCCCAAGAAATACATGTGTGCTCCCACAGAAACGTCAGGACTTCTTAACTTCAACACTGTCCTGATCTGAGAGAATTGGTGAAGCTAGAATCTTAGATTTTCTATTTTAGAAAAGCTATCGTCTATAATGAATGTTTTTCTCCCTGCTTATTTTAGCTATCTACTCTTTCTTAACAGAATAAGATTCAAAAACAAGCAAGAAGAACGTAAGATGGAAGGGGACCTCCGAAAAAGCCAGAGGGCCTGCCAGCAGTTAGATATGCAAAAAGTGAGACCTGGGTTTTTTTAGGGGGTTGTGAGGAAGACTTATTGATTAGAGTTACACACTAAAAACAAAGTAGCAATTCAATTCTTGGAAATTCTCAGAAATTGTGCGATAACAATTACCATATCAACCTCCTGGTAACTTATGTGAGGACCCGTGTAAATTTCTGTCATCGGAGCTCACCTGGTTTTGCTCCTGCATTCTTGTGGTTAGTTTTGAGCTGTTTGCGTATTTATTAGTAGCCAGTGTCAGGCTGCCCAAAATGACAGTGTTGTTTGCCTTAAGTGAGGGAGCAACATCATCACAGAATGGTTGGTGTTGGACTCTGGAGGTCATCTTGTCCAAGCTCAACAGGGGTCACCTAGGACAATGTCCAGACAGCTCTTGGATATCTCCAAGGATGGGGATCATCATTGAGGGAATCAGCAGATTGACCAAAGAAGCATTTTAACAAAAAACAAACCCACCTGCAAAGAATAACATGGGAACTAGCAGTGAACTGCTACAAATTTTTGCCACTTGAAAACTTGAACTATTGTTCTTTTCTCTATTAACCTGTTAGAGGTTAATACTGCCCTGTAAGTTCTGCTGAGATTGTTTGATACTCCTTAGTCTGCTTCCTACGAAATCAGTTGAATTAGCTTAGATCCATCTTTGTGACTCTTCTTCCTCTAACTTGTGTGAGGCAGATTGGGATGCACTGTGTGATCTCTTGATGAAATAACTCGGGTAGCATATCTTCAACTAATAAGAAAGGATATCTGTTCACAGCCTTGGTGTGTGATTATGTTGCAGTTTAGCCTTACACATACTGAACATAAATGGAATAGAACTTAATGTTACCATGCATTTATTTGTTTTTAAAAAAGTGAATCATCCTTCTTGTGGGCTGTTGTACTTAGTTTCACACTACAGCCCCTTGGTTATACTATACAGGAAAGTTTTAGAACTTAACATGTTACCTATTAGAAATTGTTTTTATCCAGCATCTTACAAGAAAACTTACAAAGGCAGCTAATTTTCATTTAAGTCCTTCATTATTTAAGGATATTGATGCTCCAAAGGAGACTTGGTATTGGCTAGAACCTGAGGAGGAAGACAAAAAGGATGAGGAAGACAAAGAAGATGAATGCACAAGCTCAGACTTAAGTGTAAGCTCTGCAATTAAATGTCTTGATTCAGAGTTAATTCTAATATTCCTTTTAAAAGTATGTATGTATCTGTACATACATGTATAAAAGGTGTACTTACACGTGTTACTTTCCAGGCTGTAATGAATGGCCTCTTTGCAGTCTTGGAGCAGTGATTTTTATAGCAGTTACATGATAAAATATAAAACATTAAACCACTGATTTATTGCTCCTCTCTTTTGACCCTGATCTTTGGAAAATTAGCCTAGAAATTAAATTCTAAACTTTTTTGTATCCTAGCCAAAGATATGCAAGATCACATATTTGATGAAAGTTACTTACTCTTGAGTTTCAATCTTGGATGCCTCATCTCGCGTCTTAGGCTGTATTTTAAAATTACTAAATAATTTCTGAAAATGCTTCACAGATCAGCTTGAGATGCACACTGGAAGCTCACATTTTTTGAGAACCAGATTACGTAGCTGTTGGTAGCCTTATGTGTTTGATTTGCAGAGATTAGAAGTGAAGAATTCCACAAAAAATACCATATACTTGAAATAAGGTATCTAGGTAAAATTTTTAGCTCTCTCTTCAGTGCAGGTTTCTTAGCTGGAAAGAAGGATGAGCAAGCAACAGCCACTAACTTTCCAAAGATCGTGAATTCCTGTGCTGTCTGCTACAAATTTGGGAAACTTCATGCCATACTGAGCATTGTATACCTTTTTCATAGCAAAAAGTTAAACTGTTTTAACAAAATTAGTAGCTTAAACTGTTTAATGAACCCCAGATCATTGCATACCTGTACATATCTCTAGGTATCAGAAAAGCTACACATCCTGACTACCTATTTGAGACAAGAACACTTCTATTGCATTTGGTGTGGAACAACCTATGAAGGTGAGAGTAAACTTGTAAGTGTTTGAGTTTGCTTATGCAGCTAGACTCAAATAGTACAATATATCCTTTATGTTTCTCTTATTGCAGACTTTTAAACCTATGTAGCAAGATTTCTCTTCGAGGCTGCTGGTTTGTGCACAAAGCTTTGGATGTTTTGATTATAAGCCAATATTTAGGAGTTTACATACACGTACACACCCCCCTCACACACACCCCCAAAAAAGCCCAAACAACCAACCAACCATACGGGCATTTATTTGAATTTATATTCTTATGGAGAACGGACCATTCAGATCTTAAAACTAGTACCATTAAAAAGCTGTGAAATCTTGCAGCTGTTTCTGAAACAGAACACTGTCCAGTTTCACTGCACCAAAAAGCGTAGAATTTGTGTTCGCTGTTTTAATACAAAGTTTGGAATTAATAACTTGCAAACCTTCTTGAATTCTATTTAATCTGCTTTATGTGGATTCTTCAAATAATTCTAGCAACTTTTTTTTTGTCCTCCTCTGAGTTGGAATTGCTTGCTTTTTCTCTGTTTGTCCTGTAGACTCTGAAGATTTATCCTCAAACTGTCCCGGAAACAGTGCTGCAGATCATGACTAAAGCCCTTCTAAGGGAAGAAGTCCTGGATAAGTATGTATAGTTCATAGTATCTTTTAGAAGGTTCAGAGCTGTGTCATATTGAAGAATTCACACCAATGTATGCAGAAGAACAGTTATGTTGACAGGTTAAACTCACCTTTCTGAAGCATCTTGTGGATTTTCTGCTTGATGCATAATGTAATAGGAATTTAAACTTTGCATTTATAATTGAAGTACCATAATTGAGAGGACGGTTAGGCCTTCCACAGTCTTTGGTTATGCCCTGCCCAACTGAACAAGATCAGCTTATAATAAAATTTGAGTTTGAGTAACGGAATAAATATTGGCTAGTTGCTCTGTTATATTATGTGTTAAACAGGTGGTTTTTTTCATCTTTACAGAGATGACTAAACATCAGACTTTTTTTTTTTTTTTTCCTTACCACCTTAGACCTGGTGGGGGGAAAAAAAAAAAGCTTGTAAAATATTCCAGTGATGTTACTAGAATCAATATTCTGTTATATGTAAAGATGCATATTTTGCATAACCAAATAGTACCAGATCATGTTGTTGAGTTGTTTGGTTTTTTAAATATCAAAAATACATTTTAATAGACCTTTCATTTTTAGGAAACAGCAGTCACTACTGTAAACAGTCACAAATAGAAAGGTACTGCTGAAGTATACAAATACTATGAAAAAAAAAAAGTATCAAAACCTACTAGAACAAGCTCAGTATTACTTAACAGTAAGAATGTAATGGTATTATGGGTGCTCTGTCGAAGAACTGTAAAGGATATTCAACCAAAGTTTGTCGTGTAACAATTTTCATATTGTAAGAGTCAATTTATGGGTGAAAGGGAAGAGGAAGTAGAACTAGTGGTATTTTGTGTCAGGATATAATTTCTCTCAGAACTTGACCACTGCAAGGAAATACTGATTAGTCCAGAATAGTGAAATGCTCAATATATTTGTGATTCATATAAGGAGGAAAAAACCAAACAAACAACTAACTTCAGGTTTTACAAAAAGATGTAAAATCAGATTCTTATTTAGTAACAGATACTTGCAGCAGGCAAGCAATTTCCATAAGAATGTAAAAGTTACTATGCATTCATTTATATTACTCCTTTTAACCAAGCACCCACTTTTAACCCATTTAACATTTCAGAAAAAGCATACATTAATTTACTGTACATAGTAGCCATTTTTCTGCTCAGAAATCTCCGAGTAGCTGAATGCTTAACACTTAAATTCTCAAGGAATGATTACTTTAAAAGAATGTACTTTTAAATTCTAGAACAGTGAAGATGCTGGATATTCAACAGGTGCATAGAGATAAGAAACTTCACCTTAAAGAACTGAAATTCAGTGAAGAATAACCCACACCTATTCCTAGTATCTTTTCTACCAAAATTAGTCTTGGTATTAACAGTTCTAGTAATTTTTTAAAATATCACTGAATAAGTCAGAAAGGTTTGAGTCACATACCACAAGACAGCACTTCTTCCATGGAAGGCAATAGATAACCTCAAATGACAATGGATGCAGCACATGTTAACAGCGCGCATACAGGGATTTGCCACAGGCCAGTTAGAATTACGTCAACTTAATCTTCTCGGAGACAAGGACTAGGTTCCTGTCCTTATTGTACAATACAGTGCAGCTCATCCACAACCTGTGTTTCCAGGTAAAAATCACAAGTGATTGCTTGCAGAAGTCTGCTGTCCTGTCTGCAGCTGATGGGCCTGAATGGTGATGTGACCTTTTTGACTGATGAGCTCCTCAATGGCAGGAAGGTGAAACACCAAAGAAAAGACGTATCCTAAGTCATCTTGTTGCTTCTGTTTTTTTATGATTATTTCATCAGTTTCAGCAGACATCAAACTCTGGATTTAAACACAGTCTGAAACCTTTTAAAAGGCGTTTACTGAGTATGAGTTTTAAATGAGTTGCCTTTCTGATCAGGTTTTAAAAAGTCAAGTATTTCAGATGCAGTGTATCTTCCTGAAGCGTCTTTTGAAAGCATCTTTTTGATTATGGATGCCTACAGAAAGAAATTAAATGTCAATAAATTATTTTTTATGAGTAAATAAACTAACTGAAATAATGTATTAAAATCCCATACCTCTGTTGGAAAACGGTTGGTGAAGCTCTCTGAAAGTTTACCTTTTCTAACATCATCCCATACCTGAAATTCATAAAAGAGTTTCAGTATGTTTTCACTGACTATATTTTGCATCTCACTTTATGACCTATATAATTTAGTGAAGAAATTAGGAAAATACAATTTTACAAAAACGGTGAGGCTTCAAAAAGAAAGTAACAGTAAACGGTTTAAAAGTTTTTTCCATTTAGTTATACTTCATTTTGGTTTTATGGTCTTTTCATCAATTGTAGTCCCTTTTTAAGCTTAAAGGCTTCACGCCCTGTAATGATGTGTTTGTTTCAGCAATCCTCTCGATTTCAGAACCATTATCCTTCTTTCCTGAATTTAAAAGTAGTGGGTTTATATCCTCTTACCACTTTAGAAAAAAAAAAAAAGGCAAGACGACTAGATTTCCTACTTTGGATGTGACTATTTGCAAGCCAAGCAGGTGTACTTCCTCCCTTCTACCTCGTACGGTACCACACACTTATTTCTATGTCACTGCAGAAAATGCTATGTGGAGCCCAAAGCAACTTAACTATAGAGGATCTCTAATTACATGCTTTCAGAAACTGTTTCTAGATAACAACTGTGATTTTCCCCATGATGTGACTTTCTGGGTAAACAGAGCAGTCCGTATCATTCATTTTGCTGTTAACTACTGTAATACGTGCCTGAAGAAGATGATGGGCACGCTTACCTATGCGTCCTGAATCATTAGTTACTCTTATGGATGCTATAGCCTGGCTTACCAAGTCTTTATAACCAGTATCCAGTAAAACAACAGCTCTCATGAACTTCAAGTTTTTTCGTACTTTTCAGCAGTAGGTTTAGGCCTGTGACATTATCTGCTGGTGATCGTCAGCTGAACCAGTTACTCAGCTCATAATCATCACCTTCACTTTTACATTACGTTCTTTCAGCAGGGTTTGCCAGCCATTAAGTGGAATTATTTTTAAGCTAATGGAGCAGCTGAAGACCATCCTAGGACTTTTCCATCCAGCTGACCTCCCCACCTGCCTACAGGCACAAGGTTTTTATGCTTTAAGGAAACAAGATTAAATAAATAATAATAAATGATTTGCCCTTTTGCCTATAAACGCTATTGGGCCTGTGGACACATCTGCAGTCAGCTGTGAGCAGGAACAAGATGTCTCAGAAAATACTACAAGGCGGCTAAACAGAGCCGAGTTGAACCTGTGAGTGGAACAGACACATTGGTGTGGTTTTCTTGTATGGCAAAAGGACTGAGCTAACAGTGTTCAAGAGCTCCTGCGTCCAACCATGTAAAAATTACTTTATACAAGATACTCAGCAGCTACATTGCCATTCTACAGATATATAGGTCTGAGCATATGAGCTGTTACACTAATAACGTTCAAAGTACCACAAAAAAGCAAAAGACACATAAAAGATACCTTTTCAAAAAAGAAGCTTAAGTAACACTGGTTTTCTTTTGGAAGTAAAATATTATTTCAATTAAAGCTATATATTCCAAATCACTTTTGTTTTCATTTTGGAAAACTGCAAGTTTTTAGGCTTTATGGACACTTTGTTCTTGCTCTGCTGTGCAGTGAAGATGGTCACGGCAGCGACAAAACTCTCCCATTCATAATTTTTATTTTCTAAAATTAGAAAAGTACTCCCCTCAAATACTCTGATCAAACAAAAAGATTTATCAGAAACTTGAAACCTTTTTTGCTAGACATTATTCTTTAGCATGCTTGGCTTTAATGTGTATGTCAGTAGGACATAAGTGAAATAGAACCAGTAATATTTCTTCAGTTACTACATTTTGACCAAGGTGTAAGGACTTACAGGCCTTAAAAAAAAAAAAGAATCACAGAATCATCATGGTTGGAAGGGACCTTTGAGATCAAGTCCAACCACCAAAAAAAAACCCACCAAAAAAAACCCACACCACCACACACAACACCCCAATCCCACCCACCCATAAACCAATAATCTTGGGCACTATAGTATGCCCTGAAGAGCCATGTCTACACGCTTCTTAAATACCTCCAGGGATGGTGATTCCACCACCACCCTGGGCAGGCTGTTCCAGTGCCTGACCACCCTCTCAGTAAAGTAATTCTTCCTAATATCTAATCTAAACCTCCCCTGCCGCAACTTTAGACCACTTCCTCTTGTCCTGTCATTATCTACTTGGGAGAAGAGGCCAACACCCACCTCTCTACAACCTCCTTGTAGAGGGGAATAAGGTCTCCCCTCAGCCTCCTCCAAACTAAATATGCCCAGTTCCCTCAGCCTCTCCTCATACGACTTGTTCTCTAGACCCCTCACCAGCTTGGTGGCTCTCCTCTGGACACGTTCCAGCAGCTCAATGTTCTTTCCTGTAGTGAGGGGCACAAAACTGAACACAGTACTCAAGGTGAGGCCTCACCAGTGTTGAGTACAGAGGCACAATTACTTCCCTATTCCTGCTGGCCACGCTGTTCCTGATACAGGCCAGGATGCTGTTGGCCTTCTTGCCCACCTGGGCACATTGCTGGCTCATGTTAAGCTGGCTGTCTACCAACACTCCCAGATCCTTTTCTGCCAGGCAGCTTTCCAGCCACTCTTCCCCAAGCCTGTAGTGTTGCCTGGGGTTAGTGTGACTGAAATGCAGGACCCGGCACTTGGCCTTATTGAACCTCATCCCATTGGCCTTGGCCCATTGATCCAACCTGTCCAGATCCTTCTGTAGAGCCTTCCAACCATCAAGTAGATCAACACTCCCACCTAGTTTGGTGTCATCTGCAAACTTACCGAGGGCGCTCTCAATCCCATTATCTAGATCATCAATAAAGATATTAAACAAGACTGGCCCCAAAACCGAGCCCTGAGGGACACCACTGGTGACCAGGCACCAACTGGATTTTGCCCCATTAATGTCAACTTGCTGGGCACAGCCATCCAGCCAGTGAAGAGAACAAAGAATAAAGGGCAAGATGTAAATAGTGACAGTACTTTAGATAAACAGATTACTTCTAGTATGCAATACCAGCAGCAAGGCAAAACAATGACAGCAGGACTTTTTAATTTAAAGATTACATACCTTACTTTTCTCATGACGACTAACTGTTGAAAGAATTTCAAACCAAATTAATCCTAGTGCATAAATATCTACTTCCTTTCCGTATTCGTCTCCGTACTACAAAGATGAGAACAAGAACAATATAGGTGTCAAATCCAACTGGACAGCACATTTAAAGCAAAATTTTAAGTCAGTAGAAATTTCCAACCGAAGGCTACAGGACTGGCCCTACTTGACCTTCTTATCAGTCATTAACCCTTTCTGCTACAGAATTGTTAAATAGTGGCTATTATGTCACAATAAATACACTAAAATCAAGACTTCTACAGACCTATACAGAAAAGGCATGCCAATATCTCTCCATCACAAATAATGAAACAAATAGAAGGACTCAAATGCCACAGATAACAAAGATCCTAAATTCAAACTGAAATACATGGCTGGCAGCCTGCTTTTGCAAGAGCATTTCTTACAGCATGCAGTGTCTCACCCGGCAGGTTAGCACAGCAAAATAAAATGACCACACCTGCAGACAGCTTTCTCCAGAATAGAGTTATCCTTGTATACAGTCACACCAGGGAACTTCAGGCAACTTGGTTTAGTTATATTAGGATTGAGAATATCCAGTGCTGAGTTTATAAGGCAAATACAGTTACAGAGAGACACTAGTATAGAAGGATAATTACCTGTTCTGGTGCCATATAAGATTCTGTTCCTCTGTTCCTGGTCAGAGTCCCATATGCCACAGAAGTCACAAGACCAAAGTCACCTATTTTTATTTTATCTTCATGTGATAGGAATATATTCTGAGGCTAGATATATATTAAAAAAAAAATAATCACCATATGGCCAAGGTTTATGGTCAAGCATTATCAGCCACAAAAGTGCTCCCCATAAAATTTCATAATTGTTCCCATAAATCAGCATTAAGAAACTGATGGGGTGGGAAACAGAAAAAAGTTCAATTAATTTTTAAAAACATAAACTAAATTTAAAGTAGTACATGCCACAATAACTGCAACATTTTTTTCCACCAGTTCAGTCATAACTATATCATGCTTTAATGCCCTTCAAATACATTGTGCATATAACATTTTCTATTCAGAAGTGCTTTTTTGTCTTCAATCCTAGCCCTGGGATTTGCTACACTTGGGCAAAGCATTTAGACTCCCATGGAATGCCACTCAAATGATGGTTTCTCATAGGCATAGCAGGGTTATCTGTACTAAGTCAATTGCAGAGTTAGGGCTTTACTACAGGCATCCCAATGCAGTTCTGTTCAGGTTTGACCATGTCCACACACATTCATTACAGTACCTATACCTGGCTACACTATTTGAAGACTCCGTTCATACCAGGCACAAAAGGGATTAATCTCAGCTTGAACCTATCCTGCAGCTTTCATCCTGGGACATGAAGATCTCAGATGGCCAAGCACCTAAGCTGACAGCAGATCAAAGTGGGGAAAAAAATTCCTAAATTCAAACGCAGACAGACAATTTAGCAATAGGACTTGGACACAGGTTACAGCTAGATGCCATGGATAAGGGACTGGGGCAGCAAATTCATAGGAATAGGGAAAAGTAGGAGATTGAGTCGAGATGAAAATAAAGTAGGACTGAAGGAGGAAGAAAATACATAGCACAGAGTGGGAAAAGCTAAGAATTAATGGATGAGGACAGAAGGCACTTATTAGGCCTCTTTTTCCCAGGCATCTAGGGAAAATAATGAGCGTGTATGTGTGGTTCATTCCAGTATTGTAGCAATAACCCCACAGAAAAGCTCTAGAAGATATGAGTGTATCTGTCCATAAGACAAGATTTCACAAGTTGGCAGTGAAGATGATCTGGAACTACACTATGAATGCAAAATGCAAAAGGTTTCAATTTCTGGCTCAAGAAGTCCATAAATTTTGGGTTACTGGAAGTCCTGAGAGGAAGGGAATATCATAAAATCATAGAATGGTTTGGGTTGGAAGGGATCTTAAAGATCATCTTGTTCCAACCCCCCTGCCACGTGCAGGGACACCTCACACTGGACCAGGTTGCTCAAAGCCCCATCCAGCCTGGCCCTGAACACCTCCAGGGATGGGACATCCTTGGAATATGCATCAAGGACGGCATCACTGTATCATCTCTCCACTCTAATACTCTCTAGTTGTTTGGAATTAGCCATCATACAAGTTGAAGAGCATCCTAGATCAACATTAATGTTAATAAATCAACATTAATCCTAAATCAACATTCTGTTACAGCTGTTTTCAGAACATCACCACACAAATGACTTTTTCACAAAGCGATTCAAGAATCTGTAAGCAACATTATAGCTGGCATATGAAGCCCTGAAGGCTTGCAAGATTGTCCTTTATAACCTTTATAATGAAATAAAATCTTTTTATGATTGTATTCTTGTAGAGACTGAAATTCTATCAAAAAAAAGTAGCATTCAAATGTTTGTATGCATACATGATACAAGAGCAATTAGGAGTATGCTCTTATCGAACACAGTATGTATTAGGATAAACTCCCCCTTTACGATCTGGCAAGAGCAAACTTCCTAGACTCAACTTTTCACTTTCTTTTAATAATTTCATCAAGTGAAGTTAGTATTTCTTTTTCCGGTAGGCAGTCTTGTGACCCAGTAATAAATAATACACTGAAAATGTCTGTTAATTGATGACTACTGATTTTTTGAAGTACTGCATTCTGATATCCTCCAGTTTACCTTCTGATTTTGGATGAAGTCCAGGCAGTTGGTAAAAAAAATAATAATTAATCCCTAGTAATATCAGAAGCAGCACACTTGTAGAGTACATAATAGACTAAGGAAAGACTAGAACAACTTAACATTTTCTGAAATTCCAGTAAGTACTGTTTTCACCTAATTTTTTTTTAATGACCTATCCTACTTACCTTGAGGTCTCGATGAATTAACCCTTCAGAATGAATATATTTCACTCCTTTCAGTATTTGTAAAAATATGTTTTTTGCCATCTTGCGATACTCTCGGTCTAGTCTGTTCTTTTCAATCCAGTTATCCAATGGCCCTTGTTCACATAATTCCATTTGGATGAAAAGACAGTGAATTTTTTCTGACTTCTGCCTGCAAAAGAAAATTATATACCATATTGAAATTGGCAAGATACAATTCCTCCCAAGCCATCAATGACTCTCAGGTTCTTCTTAATTAACAAGAAGGCTTTTTAAAGATTATTATTTTTAGACTCCCCCAAAACAAAGTCTGCTAGTCTCTTGATTTTTAAAAAGATCCTAGACCAATTTATACAAGATATAAACAAATAGAACTGCAAGCCAAAGCTCATTTGCTATGTACACCTGGAATATTCCTAATGTTTTGCTTGCTTCCTTGTTCACACTGGAAGTTTTCTGTGTACCCAAATTCTGCTCCCCTTGTATCTAGAGGCATGTCCTGTACAGGAAGAAATAACACTGTGCTTGGCTCCCATCTTGCCCTCCAGGAACTGCTGCAAGTCCCTGGCAAGTATCTGCATTCTGCTCAACAAACACAGCAGCAGCCTTCCTCTCCTACCCAGAATGATCACATTCTTTCAACCTCTGTCCCTTCAAGAAGGGGTGACCATCTGTGACATCAGTCTGCAAGTTAGAGAAACCCTTCTGAGATCTGGAAATGTGGATGAAATACATTCACCCACCTACAGCCTTACACTTTCCAGAAGAGTTCCCTCGCCATCAGCCCACCGGACAGGCTGAGGCTGGAGATGGTGAGGGAAAGGACAACATGAAAAGGAGGCACCACTTTTTCCACCTTGCACTGTGTGATCTGAATGCCCAGAAATAAAGCCACCTGAGGCATTGAAAAAATAAGTGGCTAGGGACTCTCTGTAAACCTTGAGGTCAGGGCACTAAGTGGAATTCCAGGCTGGGATCTTGGCTTTGAGGGCTTGTTTTCTGTCTTTTACCCAATAACTGTTCAATATAAAATGCATGTGATACGGAGACTCCAACATATTAATGGTTGGGTTTTGACACCAGATATTTTTTTTTCCCCATTTTATTCCTCATTTACTGAGCACAATGAACACATACCATGCCAACCATAATTTTGAATCCATTAATATTTTATGACTCTGGGTAAGTGTGGCAACCTATCTAAAGGGTCTGAATTTACAGCTAGTGAAAAAAGCTTGCCACAGAAGCTTTGAAAAGTTAATAACCTAACTTAGGAGTAAAAGTCTCACTACTGTCTTCCCAGAAGTTCTTCGTTTTGAAATACTACCTTAAATGAAAGAGCATTTCGTTTTGTATTTCTGTTCTCAACAACCAAAACTGTTTCAGGCATCACGGTTAAACTGCTAACTTAGAGAAGTAATTAAATCTATGAGACCTACTGGCTGAACAGTACTTATTAAAAAAAGGAAACTTCCAATCAGGAATTTGGCAACCAACTGCCACACAATTTTTTAGTTTCTGTTGTTAATTCTAGCCCCAGATTTTGAGTTCTGCCTTCTTACACTCCTCTATAGATTCAGCAAGTTCTGTATATTAAGAAAGAGGAGAAAGATAAAATTACGTAATGTATCTTATTCATCAAGAAAAATAAGATATAAATGTACTTAATTACATACGACCTGCTGCTGAAAAGCACTGTGCCCTTTTTCCTAACAGAAGTATGTATGTGTATACATTTAAATGTGTATAATGATTTATAACCAATCTTCAGCCTTTCTTTTTACAACACAGAGTTCACTATGGCAAACAAGTTTGTGAGTGCCAACTACTGTCTTGTAGTTACCCTGTGTGTGGATCAGTTACATAGTCGTCTCCTTCCCAGCTACAAGAATACCGCACTATGTTTTCATGTTCAAGTCTTGCAAGTTCTTCTACTTCACGCTTTACATTCCTATTTGAAGGGGGAAAAAAGGAAAACAAATGACATCTCCCTATAAAAATTTAATACTAGGTTAAATAAAAGACATGATACCAAGTAGCAGTATACAGATAGTGTACTTCACCACTGTGAATTTTGTTTACATATACAGAAATCAGTGCAAACACTCATGAAGAACTATTACTAAATTTGGCCTGCACTTGCTGTTGTAACATTGCCTAGTGAAGTATGTTCAAACCCATCAGCAGACCCGCACTCTTTAATTGAAGAACCACTAGAAGGTTTTTTAGTATAGTTCTCAGGATTGCAATACAAATGAAAATAACATATATTTGTGAAGAACACAAAAATTTGAAGAGCAGTTACACAACATAAGGGACAAGAATCTCCAACAACTTGAAACTTTTCAAATAGGTTACCTAAAAATAAATAAAAGTTTTTCAGCTGCTGATAAAATACTCCACTAGGTACTGGTTACAGAAAATTACTTTTAAAAAAAATTAAGATCATCATTCTCTGTTGAAATATATAAGGGACAAGTAACACAGTGTGAGAATAATCGGTCATATATAGAGAGTTTTCCAATTACAAACCACAAAATGTATTACTTTAATTTTTCTCTTTTTTCCCTAATTACGTTACACATTACTGATAAGTAAATTTTCCATGTAACTTGTCAAAAGTAACAGTGCTATTTTCAATGTTCTATTAATCAGCAGGTTTTCCTCAAACACATTTTGCAACATTAATAATCGCAGCACTAGTGTGTTCAGAGAAAGCAGAACTTCACAAATCTAATTTTTTACAGCTGCATCTGAAGCTATTCCAGTGCATGCAAAAATTAGCAATGTTACATGTCATTTTGAGCTTCACTTAGATATAAAGAAAACAGTTTACCAGAAAGAATGGACAATTAATAATGCAAATTGCTTAAATTCTCCTAGGGTTATTAAAAAGACAAAACAAAGTACTAAAATCTTGATTAAGGTTGTCCTAAAATAAAAAAAAAAATAAGTAAATATACAGTACATACTTTGTGAAGCGAACTCGTTTGACTGCATAGGTTCTCTTATCAAGCTTTGCTGTTGCTTTGAAAACATTCCCAAAACCACCATCACCAATTGGCTCTATATCTTTAAAACTCTCAAGAAATCTTTAAAAAAAAAAAAAAAGCATATATATAACAAGTATACTTAACATTAAATTTACAAGATACAAATATGATCCTGACAGATTTAATACATGTGTTGAAATATCATTCTACAGGGATCACTCAACACCTCCACAGGTCTAAATCATAGTCTTGAAGATTAAAAAAACAATGGAAAATTAGCCTTGAAACTATGAAGGGTAATTACCCTCACATCTTCATATAAATTACTTTTAGTTGTAAGTATTAAACATCATTGCATGTCAGTTGCTATAATACACTTGAAATGTCCGGAAAAAAAAAAATCTCAAATGCCAGTTTTCTTTGGAAGTTCTTTTTATAGCAGTACTTTCCCACATTCTATTATAAATAAGCGAACAAATCTAGAGCACTACATACTGTAATTACCATACAGATCTTATTAAAAAAAATCCTTCTTACCTTACATTCACAGTGTAAGGACTGGTGTTTGTGTCCGAATCTGGCACACTTTCATCTGAATGTGACATCTTTTTTTTCTCTTCCTTTTTTTTTGCATTACCAAAATTAGCTGCCAATTTTCTTTAATAAGGATAAAAGCAAAACTTATGAGCTGTTTTTCTAATATGGGACATAAGAAAAGAAATGTACCTCCCAATAGTAGCATTTGTTTGCTAGATGCAGAAACACTAAAGTGGTTTGCAACAATAGTTTATGGGAGATAGCAACACGTACCTCGGGGGTTTCAGGGAAGAACTTTCTGTGCGTCTCTGTGTGAAAAAGAGAGAAAAAACTAAGTAAAATATCCTGAATATTTTCACTACACTTAGTTTAGAATGTGTCTGTGAATGTAGCTAGGAATTGTGTATAAATCTGTTCATATGTTATATGAAAAATGTAGTAAGAATGAAGCCGTATCTTCACTTAAAATTGTTCCCATGTGCTATCTCTGACATCATCATCCTTCCACAGAAAAACATTAGCTTAGATTCATCCCTTTTCTTGGCAGTACTGCCCATTTGGTCACCAGTACACAAATTGAGACCACAGCTCAGCAGTAAATGACTGATGGCTAACAGTAAGTACTGAATATTCTTATGAAAAATGCTTGTGTTTCCTAGTGATTAGTGGATAAAGGAACAAGCTGATGCTACGCTCAGTCAAGAAGCTTGCTCTATTCAGTGTCTAAAATGTAATTATGAGGAAGACCATTTTTGTACTATACCTGAAAAGGTGAAGGCTTTCCACATATTGCCATGACACCCATTTTTTCTTCCAACTTGGTAGCTGAGTCTTCAAAGCAAATACTGCTGTTATTGAAAAATAATAGGCTAGTTTTAAGTGGAAGTAACACAATCATAAATAAAATTATTGCCACAAGAAAAAAGCAGCATAAAAAATACACCGTTTTTGAAAGCAATAACCTGAAAAAGCATTAACAATCATGACTGCTTTAAACTACAAACCTTTATGCTGGAAAACTATTAAAACAATAACATTTTTAATATACGTCTCTATCTCGACGGTATGATACCATGATATCTAGATATCTACATGATTTATGTTCTGTTATATCCTTCAATTAAATAGGTTAAATACAGATGTGTATTTCAAGGCAGTGCAGCCACCTCTAGCATTGTACATATCAGCTTGCTTTACAATTGCACAAAGAAGACAAAGAAGCAATCATGGCACTACAGTCAAATTAACTGCTGGACACAAAAGGCTTGACCAAATCACAAATGAAACTTTATGCATGTTCATTTTCTTTTGCCAAACAAATTCTCCCTTTGGTGGAAATGAAGATTTATAGAGAATGAAAAAGTTTTTTAAAAAAAAAAAAGAAGAAAGCAGGATGTGGAGCACAGGAAAGTACCGAAAACGAATTACACTGAGTTCACAGGAGTGTCACAATAGGAAAATGACTGTTAAAAATGGCGTGAAATAATGCTACTGAATGAGGTAGTTTATTCCATTTACATCACAGTAAAAATACTTCTGAAAGAACTACTCATGGCAAAATATAAATATATCAGAAAGCTCTAAAATCATTATAAGCTAACCTGTAAGGACTCGCATAAAATTGCATAATACATTTTGCTCTGAAGCCTAAGAAATAGAAGCTCAAATTAAATGACTTTATACTGCAGTAAAGAAACTATGATGTCAGATTTTATTTAGAATGAGATCACGTGATCCTCTAAGATTAGTAAATACATTTTGTTATCACATCATCAGTGAACCCAACTTACTCCGAGTCAGACTGAGTTGACACTTGAGAGGAATTACTATGTTCGCTAAATGTAGAATCACTGTTAGATTTTTCATTTTGCATCTGAAAAAAGAAAAACCAAGAATGTTTAACAAAATCTCGTTAAAAAAATCCCTAGTGCAAAAGATGCCAATCAAAGAGGGGGGAGGGAAGCCCTGCAGAAGAAAGGCATCTGCTTAACTTCCACCCGGAGGAGTGAAAACAGAGGGCCCTGTCACAGGGAGCATTTTCCCACTCATATTGAGACCATATAGACACATTTGCAGAAGTACAGTCTGGGATCTATTAAAAATCAGGATAAGGGTAACAGTTGTTAAAAGCAAATGTTTTCATTGCTTACTGCATATGCAATGTTCTTTGTGAAAAACAAGATACATTAAGTAATATGTACATTTACATTTTGTAAATGTAATCAGCAGAACTGAAAATCTGAGTCTGTACAAAAAGACATTCAATGTCTTCAGTGTGAAAACCCTGCGAAACCTGGATTACTAAATCGGGGTTAACTAAAAACATTAATCCTAAATACTTAGTAGAGGTTCTTTTCCTCTCTATTTTCCCCCCATGTCATAAGAGCATAAATGTAACATTAAAAGTAATATCTACAATTGTTACAGACGATAACCTGACAAAAAGTAAAAAAAACTTAATGGGTTTTGTGATAGCCAACAAACCAAGCCCATTTTTTGGAATTCTGGAGTACTAGGCCTTTACTAGTTTTTGCTAGTTACATTTTGTTTGTTACACAGACATCTCTGCTCTCCAGAGAATGGTGTTAGCAATTGCTTCACTAGACACTGCCCTGGAATGCTACAGAAGGCACTCCTGCTTTTGCCTTTCTCACGTTTTACAATAGATTTTTGATCCAACAGAAGGCAGTATAAGATTTATGTTCATAGCCAGTTAGCTCGACAACACTTCAAGACAGGAGACAACCTGTATATCAGAGTAATCAGGATCCAGAAATGTTTAATATATGTGGATCCTTGAGTGACAACGTATCAGATCATATTCTGAAATACACAGAGATATCAACTATGAGGTTTTTTAATCCAGCAATTGAATGTGAAAGAAACACAACCAACAGAATCCTGTAGCCCAATCAACCCACCAAAATATGACTTGTTTCCCTCTTAAGTGGAATCCATGGAACATGCTTTTAAATGCAATGAGGAAATCTGTTCATAAAGCTACAAGATTTAAACTTCTGTCTTAAGGCTAAATATAGCACATACGGTTAGAAAGCCTTCTTTTTCCAGCTTCTCAAATGCTTGTTTTGCAGCAGCTTGTTTTGCAGCAGCTGCAGAATTTCCGCTGCCAACTCCATACAAAACACCACTAATTGTACAGCTATAAGAATATCTGTAAAATACAAAAGGGAAAAAAGTTTTAGATCCCATATCACAAGTCTTAATTTAATGATCTAAAAGACTACAGTCAATTGACATTATAGAATGGAAATACAAAACATACATCTTCAGAACAGTATTTCTAATATACACTTAGTCTAATTAATAACGGTAGATAACTAATCTGATATGCCTTCAAGATAACTAATTTTCAGAGAGCATTCAGCACTTTTTAGGGTTGAACTAATAGCATCATATCATATGAACCCAGAAGAACAAACTACCTGCAATTTAGTTTTTAGAATGGCTGATTTTGCAGGGAAAGAGGAATTTTCCAGCAGATATTGATGGGAGAGTTAAAATATCTAGATATTATTTAGAATCTCTCAGCTATTATTAACTGGAATGTTTCAACAACTCACTGACTGCAATACACACAGAAGGGGACACAAACAGGGTCTCCTCGGCACTTGGTTCTTAGGGGTCTCCAAAACACAGGCCGAGAGGGGTCCACAAAAGTGCCAGAGCTACAACCAAAATGAGAATTTGTGAACACAAACTACCATTTTATAATCATGCCATCTCTTCCCCCAGCTGAAAAACCTCACTCCTCTTAGCCTCTCCTCCTGTGCCGTATCCTCCAACTCTTAACCACCTTAATGGTGCTCCACTGGACTCTCTCGAGACTCCCTCCAAATTTTTACTGTATTTCTAAAGATTCATCTAACAATAGTCAGGGTAACTAATGTTAGTGTTAGTAAACACAAAGAAGTATTGAAAGTGAGTACCAAGACAAAGTACATCTTACATGGGAGCATGGGCAGCTCCAGTCCGGTTCCTGTTCGGATAATCAACTTTTTGTGACGTCCTTTGTGAATACAGATTTAGTCGGCTGACATAGTCACTGGCTGATGCAGGTAATAAGGTCACTGGACTTGTATTTAATTCTGCAGCTTGCGTAGTTGAAGGACTCTGTGGCTATAAACCAAACAAAACAGATAACTTAAAAACTTGAGCTCAATAAATATATTAAAATAAACAGTTCACACAATCTAATATAGCTGCAAGGTCTGACAGCGTTTCAAAATATTTTTAAGAAATACCAAGTTTGCATTAATGGAGCCCCATTTTGAATTTCCAAAGAAACGTAAAACCAGTTTTCCAAGTATTGCACCAATGTCTTTAACAACCTATCACCATGTCTCCTTCCACTTCTTTTAAGAAAAGACAGGGAACAAGCTGTGAAATGTCTCATGAAATGAAATGTCTTATGCTGCCTTCTGAATTTTCTCCCAGCCCAACCACAGCCAAGAGAAGGGATGGCAGCAGGATGCTGCTGATGCTGCCATTAGCAAGGGCTGAAAACGCTCCAGTGCATATAAAATTGGGGAAAGCAGGACTTTTCAGCTGTCTCATAATTAGGCAGCATTGAAAATATATTAGCAAACAGGCAGCAATTATGTTAAAGCAATGGTGGTGACAGTAAAAAGCATATGGAAACAGGTATGGAAAGATTTCACTCAAAAGTTGCTAAGAAGCATTCCAAGTCAAAAAGAAAAATAAAGAATGGCTACCACAAAATACATGGCAGAAAATAAAGGAGCAAAATTCAAACCTAAACTAAATCAAGGAGGGATAAAGAGCACAGAATCTGCTATACCATAAAGCATATAATGGCAAGGAAACAAAGACGAAGTGAAAGCAAGCAGAGTGGCAACAGACACACTGAATAATGCCCTGCAAGTGTTCTGAAGACATCGAGTTACTGAACAGTTGTCAAGATGACAAAGGAACACTGTCCACTCTGGATATACCAAGGCAGCTTAACAAAGGCAAATAGGTTTCCTCATCCTTCTGTAACAGCAGAGGAGGAAATACTTGCAATATTACGTAGCAACCTTGTAGTAGAACAGCAAGGAAATGAAAAGCACTGAATAAGACAGAACACAAACAACTTAAATAATTAGAAGCTCTTTTGAATTAAAGAAAACAATATTTTACTGACTACTTTTAGAGATTCATCTTCAACCTTTACTACCAAAAAAAATAAAAAAAAAATACAGTTTACTCACCTGATTCTCAATCATTTCCCAGGTTATTTTTGCTGCTGCCGCTCTCGCTTCCTTCTTATTTTTACCAGTGCCTGTACCATATTCTATACCGTCTATTTTAACCACAACCGTGAACCTGCAATGAAGGAAACTATTCTAAAACATTGTTACATTTTGTCTCATATGTACTTAATAACGTGTTCAGATTCAACTTTCTTTTTATTATCTACAAAGCACTAGAAGTTAAAAGTGGAGGTATTCAAGTATTCATGTGTTTTTATTCTATCTAATATCTATTATATCATAATTCTTCAGTAGAAATATTTTTTAAGTGTTTCCTCCTTCATCACAAATGCATGTACTTTATTTGTTCTAACAGTATTTTTAAATGCTTAACTGCTTTTTAAAAGCCAAACTATTTCAGTTTTTAAAAGCAAAAGGATGCATGAGGTCAGCATCCCAGCATCCTTACAGGTAAGGTTGTGAAGCCCTAACACCAGGACACATCTCAGCACTGCAAAATTGTATGGACAGGAAAGATTAGCCAGTCTTGATTTCACGGATCCAGACGTGACATTACACTCACCTTTGAAACACTGCTACATATGCTATTTAGTAAGTGCAAAAAACACGTCCAGTGCTTCATGAGGCATGAATTCAAAGGCAGTTTCAAAAAAAATAAACTAAAAGATCAGTCCTGCCCTTCCACACTCAACCAGTGACCCCTTCCCCCTCCCAGGACAGCTGTGCAGCACCTCCAGGAGTCAGAACAGGGAGCTGATGCAGCTCAGGGCTGACTGCGCTGTGCTTGGGATGCAGTCAGCTTTCTTCAGAGCAGCTGGTATGGTGCTGTGTTGCAGACTTGGGACTAAAACATAACACAGCAATGTTTCACCTACTGCTGAGCAGTGTTTGCACAACATCAAAGCCTTTTCTTCTTTTTTCCCCACTCTGCTCACACCCCAGCAAGGAGGCTGGGGTGTGAGAGAAGTTGGGAAGGGACAGGGCAACCGGCCAAGGGGATATTCCATGCCATATGGCATTGCACTCAGAAATAAAAGCTGGGGAAAGAAGGAAGAAGAGGGGACACTTGGGGTTACAATGTTTGTCTTCCCAACTAAACATTACACATGATGAAGCCTTGCTTTCCTGGAAATGGGTAAACATCTGCCCGCCAATGACAAGAAGTTGGTAAATTCCTTATTTTGCTTTGGTTGCACATACACCTTTGCTTTGCTTATTAAACTATCTTTACCTAAATCCAGAAATTTTCCTCCCTCTCACCCTTCTGATTCTCTCCCCTGTCCCACGGGGGAGAGTGAGCATCTGGCTGAGGGTTTCGCTGCTGCCTGCGGTCAACCCACCACAGTGACCTAATAACAAATGGCTGGTTTTCCACCAGATCAGTTCTTACCCAGATCTGACTGGTCCTGCACAAAACGCAACAGAGGAGAAAATAACAACTAGATTTCTACTGTGGGTGGCAGCACGGACTTGCATCAAATTAAAGTGACCGTTATTATAACCTCGGGGTACACCTGTACTTCAGATTGCAGCAAAGCACACAAGATACACAAGCTCCCAGTCAAGAAGATAGAGTCACACAAAGAAACACTCTACCCATGAGTTTCTCTGGGGGACAATTTGTCTCAAATGGTGGAATGACTTCAGGAATTCACTTTTTTCACTATTGCAACTTCACTCTCCACTTCCCTTTAATGACACATTTGGGTGGAAAATAATGCTGATGCAGAACAGTGCTTACAGTCACTGTGTAAGCAAGGCTTAATGAGAGACCTTAAGGAGGAAAATAGCAGGACAAGGCACACCACAGTGTGCCACACACTCTACACACAGGTAACAGTCTACCAAAAAAAAAAAAAAGGGCACAAAAGAAAAATCATTCTTTGGGAAAGGGTTTGTTAGCCAACCCATATCTAAGTGCTGAATAGTGCACACATTCAGCTATGACTTTGCATATAAAATTCTTCATTTTATTTAAGCATCCTGAGGAAATCTGCAGTCTGAGTCTCAATGACCCATGAGTTAATTATCTGGGTTGAGCATTATTTGAAGCAGTATTATATGAATTAGTCCCAAATGGACAGTTACGCTTATCCACCATGGACCTCAAGTTAACAAACGTATATAACATGTTGGTACCAAATCAATTAATATACACTCAAACTTTATGGTTAGAAATTTACAACACAAATCACAAATAATTTCCATGCTTTCTAAAACTAAATAAAAATCAAAGCACTTAAGCTAGCTTACATCATAAATGGAAATACTTGCTGCAACCTGAGCAAGGTTCATCACCTCCTGAGAGATTTCATGACAGATCCATAACACACTTACAATATAGTTACCAGTACCACGTGCATTGCAGTTGCTTTCCAAAACAGGGTTATCAACTCTGAAAGAGGTTTTCTCCCAATCACAACACCCTCCCCACCCACCTGCCACTCAATTTATCATTTCAGTCAGCTCTCGTGCCACATACACACTATCAGCAAATTAACTTTTATGACTGCAAGCTTTAGCCAGTCCATTCATTGCATGAAGAGTCCTGCCGTATATTGACATGCACAGAGAACTTACTCAGGATCGTGAGATGGGCCTTTCCTCCCGGTCTCAACATAATGCAGTAGATAATCATTCTTTTGACAGTATCTGTTGATCTTGTCCATACACTCACGTTCCATTTTGACACAATCTCAAAAAGGTTCTGCAAAGCAATATTCAAAGTTATGTCTGTGCCTCCAGGACTACTACAGAGATGGCCCCTGATCCCGGCAGGCCACTGCAGTGATATGAAAGAGAAAACTGGTGCCAGTACCATAAAGTTCATGGAAAATGAATTTCTGATCAATGATTCTAATTTCTGATTCAAGTGTCTGATCTTCAACTGTTTTTGAAGCCTCATCGCTTCCTAAACTACATTTCGGAAGCAGAGCAGAGAACGGAGTAATTACAGCAGATTTCTTAGCAGATTTCTTGGCAGGAAAAGGCTGAATCATTCACTCTGGGGAAGAAAAACCAGCACCCGGTGCCGTTTCTCACACACACACGCACCCCACACCCCCCTTTCCCCCCCCCGTTACCTCGGAGCGGCGGCAGGCGCCCCGGGGTCCCCAGCAGCTCCGTCGGCCGTCGCGCCGTCACCCCACTGAGCGGGGCGAGCGGGGGCCGCCCCGGTTTCGTTTCCCGCAGCAGGGCCCGCCCCGGCTGGAAGCGAAACCGAAAGGGCGGGAGGCGCCCCCGCAGCCCGGAGCTGTGAGAGCCCGCACCGCCCCACCGGCACGGCCACCGGCCTTATCCCTTACAGATGGCAGATACGGGGCAGGCACAGCAGCCACATCCTATAGCTCATCTATACGGACGGTGGGGAGTAGGCACACACCCGTCTTTGCCAGATACATCCAGATATTTTATTGTAGCATCCCTTTCCCTTCTCTTACCAGCTGGTAACTAGCTGGTAACTAGCTGGTCAGCACTCACATCCGTTACACAGCGTGACAGAGTGACCTACAGCTCCAGATGGTGTTCCTATCAGTGTCCCACTCTTCTGCCATTCTGTCTCAGCAGCTTTCCAAAGAAACTACTTCCAAACCATAGTTAGGGCATGTAACAAAAAGTATCTCCTTTCACACACTTTGAATTTTCGATTCAGTTGCTATCCTTTTGGTTGGATATTATTTTATTGCATCTCATTTTACTGCAATCTCTCTGTAAGTTTTCCCTCAGCCCTTCAACACATTCTCTACTCTTCCAATTCTACATCTGTGGGAATTCTTTAATGAGGTGATCAGTGAGCACAAGCCATTCCAAATGAAGTTGTACTGCTAATGTAAATTAAGAAAAAAAAATTCAACATACCTTTTTGCACTGTGCTTCATCGCTTTCCTCCTCTATTTAAGAGCTAATTTTAAGAGCTGATTTTACAAAGGCGGTCTTCCACTTTTTACAGATCATGCCAAAGTGCACATACTGAATTTAAAAAAGCTAAAAAAAATGTTTAAAAGGTGTAACTTAAGCATTTTTCCTTAAAAAATGAAATTTTTCCAGGCCAATTATCTGCACTTATCAGAGCTGAATGTTGTTAGTAAATCGATTCAGCCTGCTCAGATGTCTTTAAACTTCTCACAGTCCTGTTTTAGTCTCAGCCAACAAATAACTTTCTCCGACACAACAGCAATATCTCTTCTCTCATTGTTTACCCCTTCTTTAAACTTAAAATGTTATCAGTATCACTGAACCTTAAGGCACTTCATAGCAAGTCTGTTGCTGGGATAAATAAAAAAAAAATGGTCACCAAATCAATAATATATTCTGGAGAAGGAGGAAACAAAATAAAAGCAGGAAAGAAAAGATCTGCTTCCAGAGGCTATATCTAAAGTATGGAGCAGATGTGTTTCACTGTCTGCACTCAACGGCTCCTGATCACCCGGATACATAACCTATTGGACTGTGCTTTGATTGCCACCCCCACCCCCTGCAGGATCTCTCTCCAGGAGAAACCAGAAAGCTATCGAGGAGAGAAGGAAAACAGCAGGAAGCTTTAGGTCTCACCCTCGGAATGAGGAAATAGCTTGGGCACTCACCAGCACCCAGGAAGCAGCCCTGCTTTCCTGTAGCACTGACACAACCACCAAGGAACCCACTCAGCTGCCCGTGGGGATGCAAAGAAAACCATCAGAGAGTTCAAAATACTAGTCTTCTAACTATAATCATCTTGTAGAAAAAAAGGATGAACCATGATATGAGTCATATAGTTCACAAATTACTATTTTTGTATGGCTGGATAAAACAGATTTTCTTTGAAAATGTTCATGACGTACTTCCTTGTTAAAATCCACCTAGAGCAACTCTGTAACTCTGTGTATGGACCTCATTTAAAGACACCAAAATGCCATTCTTACATTATCACTTCCCAAATGTGCAATACACCTTGTCTTTCAACTTGGCTCCTAGTTAGGGCTTTGATCACCGTCCTTTTCCTGCGTCTGAGCTTTTGTGAGGCATTTCTAGCCTCTGGGAGCCTACGGAAAGAACAATGAGAAAGTACTGTGCATGTCTGAAAGCAGAATATGGCACACAGATGATGAAAAGCTGATAGTGAAAGCTGTGTGGAGTAGCCTTATCTACTAACCGTGAGGTTCACAGAAATATGGCATGGCAAATGGCTGTCTGAAGTTAAACAATCCTGCAGTGACCTTTACAAGAATACACGAAAGCACATTTTACAATTGCAGTTCTACTCTGAAGTGAACATGGGGTTTCCATGCATAGCCAGTTGATGACAAAAGTTAAAATAATAAAAATAAGCTTAAAATATGATAATCCATTGTTTAACTGCTTCATTTCTGTATTGGGGATCTTCTAGTAAAGATATATCTCTTATAAAATCTTCTAAGACATTTATTTTCCATTTATGACCTCTTTGACCAACTGCCAAAGAAAGCACAAAGATTACTTTTATATAAACGTACCTTTTCTGAAAGGTAGACATTTCATAGGATCCAATGGAAAGAAGGGCTACCATCAATGGAAGCAGATGCCATCTTCTTAAGCAGAAAGAATCCTAGAAAATCAGCACTTTTTAACCACTCTTCTGTGTAAACTCTGAAAAACAGTAATTCAGTAGAGGCACATGAAATCAAGGACTAACACTTTTCCTGTTTTAACAATTCAAAGTAGCATATTTTATTACAAGTCATCTACAGCAATTATATTAAAACTCCTCCCATTTCCTTAGCTACAGGATCCTTACCCATGTCTGTTTCTTCTCAGAATTCCTCCCTCTCCTTAAATGCCTGCCTTCTGCAGTTTTACTTGCCATACACCAAGCTCTTTGGCACAAGTTTTTTGGCCTTATGTGTGAACTAACGTCTTTTATCAGACAAGAGGACTGCTATCGAAGGTGCAATTTTCAGAACTGAAACTGGCCTGAAGCCAACTTCCCGTTTCTCTGGTAGGATGCAAAGTTTGCTCCAGCTTTGTGAACTGGTTTTAATTATTAACATCCAATCGATACTAGCAGTATTAACAGAACTCAAATCAATAAAATTTGCTTTCTGGCTGATAAAAAAAGCAAAAGATAACTGTGTTTATTTGAAACAGGTTGTCAAAGACCAACAGGAGCTGGAGCATCTCTCATACGAAGAAAGGCTGAGACAGTGAGGGTTATTCATTGTGGAGAAGAGAAGGCTCCAGGAAGACCTTATAGCAAGCAGCCTTATAGTTCCTAAAAAGGGTCTACAGGAAAGGTAGAGAGGGACCTTTTACTAGGGCATATAGGGATAGGGCAAAGGGTGGCTTTAAACTGAAAGACCGTAGATTTATTTTACATATCAGAAAGATATTCTTCATTATGAGGGTGGTGAGCCACTTGAACAGGTTGCCCAAAGAGGTGGTAGATGTTCCATCCCTGGAAATGTTCAAGGCCAGGTCCAATGGGGCTTTAAGCAACCTGGTCTAGTGGGAGGTATGCCTGCCCATAGCAGGGGGGTTGGAACTAGACTTTTAAGGCCCCTTCCAACCAAAACCATTCTATGATTCACCCTGGGGAAAATTATCTGTTCTGAAACCCCAGCTGGTACCTACAGCTGTAAAACCTGTTCTGTCATACCTTTTGGGCCTTCATCCAAATGCCCTTCTGATTCATTTGCTCTAGAAAATATTGACCTTTGTAATTTCAAATATTTTAGTATCATACCAGTTCCCCAAATACCAACATGGTTCTAGTGGAGTCATTGGCTTTCACTTTATCAGGAACAAGTCATCCCAGTGCTGTGGAAGGGAGTGCAGGTTGCTTTGCCCCCCAGGTGACTCTGCAGGAGGACACACTCCAGAAGGCAACAGAACGGGGAAAGGCGCTGTGCCGGCACACCGAATCGAACCACATCTCTCGCGTGTGTGTCCTCCTCCCTGCACATCCCTTTCCACCACCGCCGCCTGTTTAAGGGATGCTCTGGGATACGAACGGACAGGGCTCGGCCTCTTTGGGGCCAGGCAGCACCAGGCTGGACAGAATTTGCTGCTAACCTTTCCTAAGGGCGGTAAGAGGCTTCCCCGGTGCCGGCGGCCGCGGTCAGGACGGCAGTAAGGCACCCAGCCCCGGGGGCCGCCCCGCAGCCTTCCCGAGGGGACGGGCTGCGGGGTTGGGAAATCCTTTCGCGGCAAACTTGTCCCCTGGCGGCATTTTAACAGGTATTTTCCAAACCAGACGTCGGCTACCGGATACCTCACCCAGAAACCGCTCCTGAGCGGGCAGGAACCCCGCCCCACGCCCACGCAGGGCACAGCGGCTCCCGCCGGCAACCGGGGCGCGGGGCCTCCCCCCGCGGCCCTTCTCCCCCGGCCCCGGGCCGGGCCGGGCCCGCACAGCACCGGGATCCGGAAGGGCCCTCCTGACAGCCCCGCTCCGGAGCCCTCAGTGACTTCCGCCCTCCTCTCCCCTCGGGCCTATCTGCAGCCCGGCCCCCGCCGGCCAGCGCTGCCTCACGGGCCCGACGCGTCGCCCCGCCGCCGGCCGAGGCCCCGCCTAACGCCGGCGGAGGGCGGAGCGGGGCCGCTGCCGCCTCTGCTGCGCCCCGGTACGGGCAGCTCTGGCGGCGGTCGCCCCGGCGGCTCGGCCGTTAGAGCGGGGCGGCTCCCGCGAGAGGCGGCGCCATGGGGGTGCACGGCGTCAAGGCGGTGTTCTTCGACTTGGACAACACGCTGGTGGACACGGCGGCGGCGGGGCGGCGCGCCATCGAGGAGGTACTTGTCGTGTTCCCCCTTCCCCCTCACGACGCCGGGGGCTGGCGGCCCCGTCAGTCAGGGGGCCGTTAAGGGCGGCGGGGAGCCAGGGGGGCGGGCTGACCAGGGCCTCTCGCCCCTTGCAGGTGATAAACGCCCTGCAGTCCAAGCACTGCTACAGCGAGGGGGAGGCCCGCCTCATCTGCGACAAGGTGCAGGCCAAGCTCCTCAAGGAGTGCCACGACCCCGCCAAGATGTGCATCACCGACCTGCGCATCTCCCACTGGGAGGAGGCCATCCAGGAGACCACCGGCGGGGAGACAAACCGGCAGCTGGCCGCCGAGTGCTATTTCTTGTGGAAAACGACCCGGCTCCGGCACCTCACCTTGTCCGAGGAGACGCGGGACATGCTCATCGAGTTGAGGAAAGGTCTCCGCTTGCTCCTCCTGACCAACGGCGACAAGCAGACGCAGCGGGAGAAGATCGAAGCCTGCGGCTGCCAGCCCTACTTCGACGCCATCGTGGTGGGGGGAGAGCAGAAAGAAGAGAAACCAGCGCCATCCATATTTCATTACTCTTGCGACCTCCTGGGGGTGCAGCCCGCAGAGTGTGTGATGGTTGGGGACTCTCTAGACACAGATATTCAAGGAGGCCTGAATGCTGGCTTGAAGGCGACTGTCTGGTTAAACAAAGCAATGACTACGCCGGTAGATATCTCCCCAGTACCTCATTATATTATTTCTTCTGTTCTGGATCTGCCAGAAGTTTTACAGAAGATGGAGCACAAAATTAATTCAGAGTTAGGGACTGACCATACAGCTGGTAGTAATGACGCACACTGACAGTTCCAGAGATGGTGACTCGCACTCTTTTAAAAAAATTGAGCCTAGGATTTTGAACTCGTGTATGGTATGCTTTCCTAAACTGCAGATGGATGAGTAAAAGCACAGTTGTCAGTGAAAACGGGATAGAAACAATGAATTAGATTAATTTAAAAGATGCAAGTGCAGTTAGTTTAGAACAACTGCCTCTGTCTGGAAATTATTTTGACAGACTGTGGCTGAAGTCTGTCTGTCTCTGACCTACGTCACCAGTCTCTTGTTTTTATAACAGAGAAGAAAAATTTGAATGTTTTGATCTTTCAGATGCTTTGCTGACTTGTAAGTTTAGCAGAAACTTCAGCTCAAACCTTGTTTGCAGTGTGTAAAAGAAGATGAGAAAAAGAGCATGGTACAGTCTAGTAAATCTTCACCATTTATCTGCAGTTTATCTCGGGAACTGGAGTGAATTTTGCTCTTTCTAAAACTAGAATTTATTGACAGAATTTATCATGTATCAGAAAGCATTAGAAAATGCTCTACCTTTGATCTTTTTTTCAAGTTTTCAAGTTTTAGAATTTTTTTTCAGACTTTGCAGTGACTTTTCTTTCATGGAATCTGTACCTCTTGCCTTTAATGTACCTTAAATGTACATTAAAAATTTGCATTTGTGTAGGGGACCATTTAGCAGAGGGACTTGATGGATAAGTTTTTACTTTATAGTATCTTGGTGCTTATGCAGCTATGCAGTATACTTGTAATTCAGATTATGGTTTTTGTTGGAATGTAATGGATAAAACAGGGATATTTTCAATGGTCTTACTGTACTGTTGGACTCTCTAAAAGCGAATATTATTGTTCTCTCTGATTTTATTAGTGGATCTTAATCAGAATTTTTGGAGAAGTTGTTCTTGGTCTTGCTCAGGTGTATGACTACTCAGATTCAACTGCAGGATCAGTGCTTTTTTTGACTGTTTTAATCGTGCTGCTACACAATCCCTCCTTACTCCAGTTTCTACATCTATTTAATGTGATACACTCTGGAGGAAATATGAACTAGTTGTTTGTAAAAGGCTTTCAATACTCTCTTCCAGGAAATGGGAAAATTATGTCATATGTATTACAGTACTGTGTACAATTTTATAAAGCATATGTGCTATTTCCACTAGATGCAGGAGACAACTCTCTTAAAACACTAAGATTTCTCTTTCCCAGACCATTATCTTAATAATTTAATTTATCTGTACTTCATACTGTATAATGGGAAAGTGTTCACATATTAAATGGAAGTGTAAACACTTGTTGGAAAACCTGTGTTTTTCAAAACCTAGTTGCTATATGTACATTGGGGTGAATATATGACCATATCTGAGCAGTCACATTTTATATTTTAGAATAAATCCATGACAAATCTTTTGAGAACAGGGATGCTGAGGTGCTGTCAGAAGAGTGTCTGGTATGTGGGCAGCAATAAAAGATCAGCAAAAAGTACAGAAACCTACCAGGAGATGGGTGTGTAGAAGCAATCCTATATAAAAGAAAGGTTCCTTTGTTTAACTTGACATGAATTTAAGTTAAGTCTTGAGTCTTGCATAGGACTTTGCTTATGACAGCATCCAGAGGAGCTGCAGTATAACTCTGCAGTGTTTGCACAGCATCAGGGTGATAGAATTTAGCTCAGAATGAGGTTTCTGATACACCTGAGATTTAAAATAACAAATAGTAATAATCCACAATTCTGTCCGTGGGCTTGAGGGATATATACACACGAGGTTGCCATATTTTAAGATAAGTCAAGGCTCATGTTCTCTTGCCACTGCATTATTCTGAAGTGAGATGCTGAGCCTGCTTATTGTGTAAAGGGTCTCTTGTTTTAGAAGAGACTACTCTTTGTTTTGCACGTGGCCAGTCCTTTTCTTAGATCTATGAATCTATAAAAAACCACTGTGACTGCACACTCAGGTGATAGTGTGGTCTGTAGACCCCACACCCAAGTATTTTTTTTTCTATTGCTGAGTTCTGTACCAGACTGGATGTGGCTACCAGTGTCCAGATAGGCCAGTAGCGTTATGACACTCCTATAAAACAAGAAGAAATAATAGAAGGGATTTCTCTATGTAGGGGTCTTCTTAGAAGCAGTTACCCAATAAGCTGCATTTGGTATCTGGAGTATCTAAATACTCCAGATGTTTTTCTTGGGTGGAGTTCTTATAGAAAGCCTAATAAAATTAATAAAATAATAAAAATAATTGTATTTAACAAAATAGAAACATAAATGTAGTGATGGGATAATTTTCACATCAGAAGCAGAACAGATCAATAAACCAGTCTACATTCAGTTTCAGTTAAGTTCTGGTTTTGCTTAGTGTTATGCTCTATTAGTTAAGTTGTCTAGTTTATATTGCTGAAACTAAATAAAAAGAGGAAAAAGAAATTCCATCTATATTTTTTTAAAACTTTTTTTTTCAGATAAATATTACCTCCAGAGGTTAATCTACAGTAACATTGGCTTTAGTGAAATGAACTGAAAGAATAGCTTAGCATCAACTGTATTTTAATTCTTGATTTAAAGTAACCGATGTACTAGTCTAATAAAAGTATTTTGTTTATAAAACATTTATTTTAACGCTCTGTATTACTGTGGCTATTTTGTGACCAGGTTTACAATAAAGGTCAAGAGTTCTGTTTGTTTTTTAAAACAGCACACAATTAGGCTTCAACATCTGTGACCTCCCATTTAGATGTGACTGGGAGTAGTTTTCATCATTTCAAACAAAGACTGAAACATAATTACGTATTAATGAATACATAATTCATTATGTACTCTGGCCGGACTGTGTCTGTGGAATTCCTAACTGCAGTTCATTGTTAGCTGAACCTGATTTGCCAAGCTGAGTGCCAGCTCAGATATGCCTACGTGTCCTGACGTCATGGCACTGGCTGCTGCAGCAGCATAATAACAGACTGCAAAGCAGATAAAATAAATATATACAGTAAATACAGTAATCCAGTCCCTGGTAGAGTTCAAGGCCAGGGTGGATGGGGCTTTCAGTAACTTGGTCTAGTGGGAGGTGTCCCTGCCCACGGCAGAGGGGTTGGAACAAGATGATCTTTAAGGTTCCTTCCCACTCCAACCATTCTATGATTCTATGGTAATCTCACCTCCAGGGGACTCGTTCCAGCAGGTTATGGGTGCACAAAGCCGTATCTGATCTATTGCCACACTCACCTCTCTGTGACTTGGGAGAGGGGAGAGTGGGATGTTGCTCACCTCATGGCTCCTGTGGCTGCAGAAAAGCAAGCTGTCCCCTGTTAGTTTTCCATTGAGTAATGGAACAAATTTTCCATCTTCTGGACCTGTGGAGACAGACGGAGAGAGAAGGAAAGGTATTTAATGCTAGTCCAGTTGAGGGCAAGGTGTTAAACTGAGGAAAGGGGGACTTGGCACCACAGCATCTCTGTTCTTGTTGAGGAGGTTTTGCATGTGTACGCAAAATTAGAGTTCTTAGAAGGCAGGCTGAATATTTTATACAGTGGATAAGTACCTTTCATTAGAACACTAAGTTAATGCAAAGAAATGAGGTGTTTGGATGGGGTAACAGCTAAAGGTTTTCATATTTACAAACAATAAATACAAACAATGGACAACCTTCTGTGCTGCGGGTAGAATGAACCTGGAAAAGTTCTATTTGTCTTTTCTTCTGAAGCTTCTGTAACTTGACAACACCAATAATAGGGCTTTGAACTAAACTGAAGTAGTCTGATCGATCACAGATCACATAGGTTCACAGATGTAGCAATTCTTTTTTCAATTCCAACTGTAAAATGTGGGGATTTTTACTCCCAGGTTATCTTCACTGAATTTCACTGAATTTTTAGAGTTGGAAGTGACCATAGAGATCATCTAGTCCAACTCCCCTGCTAAAGCAGCAGGCCTTTAAACAAAATTTAAAATCCTATCTTAATTCTATACTAACAAAACTCATCATTTGGAAATCATTTGCACACACCGAGAGGTACAACAAACAGAAATGCAATGTATCTCTGCTGTATATAGCGATATACTGTTCTTTTGTGTACAGTTTTTACTATCAGCCTTGCAGTGGGATTGTCTCCATTATAACTCGCTTTCTAGATCACGCTGTGCATGTACAAGAGCCATAACAATGAAGAGCATTGTTACGACACAATGTGTCTAAAGCAAAACCTGCAACTTTCTGCCTATGTTGCAAGGGGCCTAGACACAGAGAATCACGCTGCCTGCTCCATATAGCGTATTTTGACCTTTTAGTCCATCTACTAAAAACAAGGTTGCATGAGAGCCTTCCGCTGAACAGCCCTTAAATGCCAGAAGAAAAATGCATTTAAAAAAAATATGAAATTAAATTACAGTGCTAATATATGAGATTTCATTCCTTTAGAAGTACAAGCTATGTTTCTTAAGTCAACACCTAGCCCAAGACCAGATGATAACCTCACACAGGGTCTAATTTAACATGGGGAAATGTTGCCGTTTACACTGGTGTAACTTCCCAGGGTTAAGTAAGCTCTGTATGCCCCTTTCGATAAGATCACCTGCAAGTGACTTCTGCCTTCTACTTTTCCTCACTCCGCTAATTGTTCGCCATCATCTATGTCGTCAGTTACATTTCCATATCTTTCTGAATCACAAGGGAATCTAGCATTTGGGACAAAGGGGCTATAAAGTCAATTGGCAATAAAAAATGACGGAAGAGAGCCAGCTCCTGTAGCAAGAGCATGTTAAGTATATACATTTAGTACCATCTCCTTGGCAGCTGTGTGTTGCAAGAAAGTGTTAGGGCTATGCTTGTTTTGAATGGTCTTTCCTCCAAAGAAACCTGCATTCATATCACACATACTAGCCAAATTTGTCCATTTGTAAAAAAAAAAATACAAAAAAATTGGGGGGAAAAAAGCCGCCGAACAACATCCTCTCTTAGTCACCTATAGATATCAAGGTTTATAAGGCAAATTTAAAATACCGAATCTGAGAAACTTTTCTCCAAGTTTCTAAATAAATGTTGATGATCAGTTGACTTCAGAAATTAATTTTGAGGAAAACAAAACAGTACTCATTATTTCAGCAGTTCCCCAGTGTTTATTCAGTCCATTCATCACTGACTGTAAAAGTTTTATTTTTTCTGTCAACTATATTCAAGAACAACTTTGTCACACTGAGAAAAATCCAACTTCTTTATATTCTGGAAATAACATGTTACTAGGCAACATAAAAGAAACTACATATGTAGCTTCAACTACGCTTTAATAAACATTTTATTTAATCTATTTAATGTATTACTGCCTATTTTTTGTTATGTTCTTTTCAGAATTTTGCCCTGGAAATGTTTATTTTGCTACAGCACCAATACTGCAGAAATGCAATAAAATAAAGGGCCAGTCAAGTAGAGACATGTATCTTTCCAGTCAAAATCCAGCCTAGTGAGCATCAGACGGGCACATATTTATTTACTTGTGTTGCTGCTGAGCCTGCTCAGTGGTACTGCATTCAGGCAGATGTGGGAAGACCATTTTCCCTAACTAGTGACCAGTGTCACAGGAAGGTGCAATTGGAAGATAAATCATTGTGTTTGAAAATACATCAAATACTCGAATATGAATACTATTGGTTCTTTTGCTATGTGACTATTAGTAAATTCTTCTCTTTTATTCTTTTAATGAACGAAGCCAGCAAATATCCTCAAACTGTGCTGTTTTCATCAGAGCACTAAAGTGCAGTAGGTCTGTCTGAAAAAGTCGGGCTTAACCATTTTCATCTGTGCTGCTGGTTGGGGGGTCTTTGCTGTTAGCGATGTGGCCTGTTAAATCTCACTGGGGTTAGGATTTATCAGGAAGTCTGCAGTGGATGGACTGACAGCCTTTGTTTTCCAAACTGTTGATGCCTTCCATTGTGTTTCAGACATTTAAATGAGAAGGGTCCTGAATGTTCTAAGTCCCTGTTTTCCTTTCAGGAAGAAAATGCATAAATGACACAAACAGCTTGTTTATTTTTCTTTCAGTAAACCTGACACAATGAAAATACTTGCTTCCATCCCTCTTATCTGAAAGAATTTTAATAAGTACCTAATAACTTGATGGCTAAACTACTTTGATATATTTGTTATCTTTGACCTGTTACTTTGTGAAACATTGTATGTCTGTTTTAAAAACTGCAACTGGTGCAGCCAGAAGTTCATCTTAATATTGTATTATAGTTTTACACGGTCTTTCTATGTTGTATCTAACAACAAAAACAAGACCCTATCTTAGAGATATTTTACTTTGAAATAAATCTACCTAGCCAAGAATTTTTTTTTGTTTTATTTTGAATACTGTGCCCCCGACAATGTTCTGTCCACCTAAACCACTTCCTGTTCCTTTTTTTTTCTTTTCTGTAGAGCAGCAGGGTTTGTGCATATTTGCTGGGTGAGCTGCATGCAATAGAGAGATGCACAATGCAGAGAAAAAAACCCTTTTGGCTTCTAGTAGCCTTTGGTTTAGGATTTGAATTCCCAACTTTTTACAGAACTTGGGAGTTTTTAGGTTGACTTAATAGTCTTCTCTGCAGCGTAAGTTCTCTGCAGCTTAAGCAGTGAATGATAAGCAAAGAAGATGCCTTTGAATACTGCACAGTAGTTTTATAATATGCTCCCAGGAAAAATTTTAAGTGGCCTGGATTCTCCATTTTAGTACCACAGTACAACTGGTCAGGTGTCAGGAGGTTCATGCTGGCATAAAACATTTTAAGGATATTCAAAAGTAGGCCTCACTGTTTTTCCATTTCTGTTTTCTATTATGAAGTACCAGTGCTGTATTTGGGGTTGTATACTCTTCTCTGTAATGGGGTTTGATTAAGAACACTTTTTTTTTTCTTTTTTTCTGTATTTCTGAATGCTAAGCAGTGTCCTTAAGGAGTCACAGTGCTGCTAATAAGCTATCCTTCCACATTAAAAGATGCAAATATATTTTAGCATAATTTTGGTGTGGCTAATTTCAGGAGTGAAGAAAGAGAAAATTAAAGTTGAATAATAGGACCATTTCTTGACAAAAATTAGTTTGAAGTAGGGTTGAAAATAAACTCCTGTCATTTGGGTATTTAAAAATACACCCATTTTATTGTACTCACAGTTGCTCATCTAAGTTTCTTAAAATCATTTTAATATTTTCACTTAATATAAATTTTAAAATCAGTAACAAGAATAATGCAATTAGTAGCCTGCTGGAGACTTCATTCTCATTTTCAATGTTTCCTCACCAGGTGGCATTAGAGGCTTGTTAGATGTAGACTCAAGCACAGGTTTTGGTTTTGTCATTTTCCTGTTCTCATTTTTTTTTCCTCTATCACTGTTTTAAAAATAAAGCATACCTGGTAACCATAAATGAGATCAGAGCAGTCTTGTCCTACTTCACACTACCCTCCAGATATCATAAGTTACAATGAGATCCTATTTTACTAGGCACTGTAAACACACGTGGCAAAATAGCCCTACTTAGAAGATATTTTGATCTAAGTATTATCTTTATTTTACAGATGAGAATCTGTGGCTTATTTTGCAAACTGCACAATAGTCAGTTGAAAAAGAGCATGACTGGGAGGATCAGCAACAAGTTTGTCATAACATCATGGTGCCAAACAAAATCCAGCATTCTAAGGTACTGGTGCACTGTGCTTGAGCTGAAT